GGGGGGGGGGGGACTGGCTCACAGGTCCAGCCTACAAGGGCAGGCCACAGAGCACCACCCTCCTCCATCACCACCAGCTTCACAGCTGCACCACATTGGGGCCGGTTCCATCCGACACCTGCCCTTGAAGCCCCCTCAGCTCCTGCCCCCTTCTGGCCTCATCTTTTCCCTTGGACTATTCCTAGGGGTGGAACCATGTTGCCAAGCCTCACCGTGTTAGAGCAGGAAGGGATTCCTTCAGGTGATAGCAATAGCAGCTGCCGTGATACCTATTAAGCACCTACTGCACGCCAAGTGTTTTAAGACTGTTTCTGATTCCCAAGAGAGGCACCATGACAATCATCTGGTCACAGGAGAGGCAAGGGGCATGGAGAGGCAGTAAGTGGTCAAGGGTACCTCCTTGCATTCAAGCCCAGCTCTGTCACTTACCAACTGTGGGACATCCAGATGGTTTCTTAAGCTCTCCATGCCTCAGCTTCCTCACAGATGGGAAGCCACTAACAGTAGCTACACACAGGGTGGTAGAATGCTCACAACCAAGCCCACCCCCAGGAGGGGCTGCGTGATGTCAGCTCTCATCATGGGGAGGCTAAGAGATTTAAGCATTGGCAGCAGCAAGAATCACAAGGCCAGAAATCCCTGTTTGTCTGGCCCCAAGTTCTTCATTTTACATAAGAGAAAACATGCATGGTGGGGAGGAGGTGTCAGAAGGACTTATCCAAGATCGGCCAGCTGCTTTGTGACCGTCCCAGGCCTGGTGGCCATTTCTGATGAGCCCCAGTGTAGTGTCTGTCCCTCAACACATTGCCTCCTTTGAAACTAAAATAATCTCTCAGAAGGCCCCTTCAACCTCTGGTTATTTGCTGAGACCTCTGGTAGAATGCAAATAACTGGCTCTTTCCCCCCCACATGCCGGGCATGCAGTTAGCACTTTCTACCCCTCACCTACTTCTAACCACTCAGCCGGCACAGCACCAGAGAGTGAACATAGGAGAAATGCCACAGTGATCAGGGCATCTTCCCAACTATAACCATTGCCTCAGATCTCAAGGAGGCTGCATGGATTTTTAACCATTTTCTGCTGCCAACTAACCCATTTAATTTGAAGTAAAAATTCAAGATTTACCTTATCCAGACTTGTCCATTTTTGCCGTGCCCACTGATACAAGATTTCACTGCATTTTTAAAAGACACAAATATGGAGATTCCGACATCATTTACACCCTGGACTTAACAAAGATCATTTCAGAAAAAAAGAAACATCACAGGAGCACAAGCAGTCTTCTTTATTCCCCCTGCGGCCTCCCTCTCCCTTTCATTTAAAGTTCCCTCCAAGAAGATGAGTCCAGACATGTTACAACTGACCCTGGTTTTACTCCCACCTCCAAAAAGTGAATCATAGCTGTTTGGAGAAGACAGGGAGGACAGGCAGGCTCCCTGTGGGAGGGAAGTGCTGTTTCTCAGGAAGTTGGTCTCCGTTGTCAGAGTCTCTGTTGCCACCCTCACTCCAGGGCAAGATTCCTTTCACCTGCCGGAATCTAGCATCAGATGAAGTCTGAGGGTGACAGCCGCCTGGTCCCAGTGCCAAGTGCCCTGTAGGAGGACTCTGTGAAGTCACATTGCACCCTTCCCAGGGATGGCCCAGTCAGTGTAACCGTCACTCATCCTTCTGCTCATTGTTTTTGTAGAGAGATGTCACTTTTCCTTCCACTCCTGAGGGACAGAAGCACTCAGGGTTTGCTTGGCTTGCGAGCACCCTGTGTCATTCTGGGTGAGAAGAGGGTGGGAGGTGGCTGGCAGGAAATAGGAGACAAAGCGAGATGCACAAAGCGGGCCTGACTTCACCTTGCCGGAGAAGCAGCAGTGCCGGAGGACGCTGGCGAGAGGAAGCAATGCGAGGCCTGAGGCTCATGCGGCAGCTAGATCCCCAGCAGAGCAGAGCAGAGCAGAGGAGGGCGAGCCCAGTGGGGCTGCAGCACCTGCCAGCCCCTCACTTGGAGACCAGCATGCGGACGAACTCCTCGTAGTTGACCTGCCCGTCCCCATCCACATCTGCGGCCTGGATCATCTCGTCCACCTCCTGGTCACTCAGCTTCTCCCCCAGCCGGGTCATCACGTGCCGCAGCTCGGCCGCGCTGACCAGGCCGTTGCCGTCCTTGTCGAACACGCGGAAGGCCTCCCGGATCTCCTCCTCGCTGTCCCTGTCCTTCATCCTCCGGGCCATCATGCCCAGGAACTCGGGGAAGTCCACAGTGCCGTTGCCATCGCGGTCAATCTCGCTCACCATGCCCTCGAGCTCCGCCTGCGTGGGGTTCTGGCCCAGGGCCCGCATGACGGTGCCCAGCTCCTGGGTGGTGATGGTGCCATCCCCGTCCTTGTCGAACAGGGAGAAGGCCTCCCTAAACTCGGCCACCTGCTCCTCTGTCAGCTGGTCGGCCATGGGAGGTGTGGGGTGCCGGAGGTGTGGGTGCAGGTGCGGGCTCCCCGGCTCCTCTCTGGATTCTGAAGGACAGCAGCTGGCAGGCTGGCGTCCCACCCTGGCTTGACTCACCAGAGCTTAAGAAGGAGCAGGGCTCTCCCTCACCATTCAGACTCCCCCGCCTTGCGTTGCCTGAAGGCCGGGTCCTGTTGGAACAGGAGCCCAGGACTGGGAATGAGACTGGTTGGCTAATTGAGCTGGTGCCAGCACCTCTGTGTGAAAGGCAGTGGCTCTCCGCCCCACCATCACTCAGCTGTCAGGAACTATCCGAGGACACCTTCAGTGAGGCGTGCTGGACAACCTCTAAAAAGATTAATTTGGGTTTTTCCTTTTTGAATTTTCCTTTTGCCCTCCCTCCTCTCCAATCTTCACACCCTTCACTCAATAAAATGTGCCCTTTCTCCCTGTCAGCTGAGGTTTTTGGCAGGATAAAAAGCAGAAGTTGTCTTTGCCTGAAAGGAACTTTCTTTCCTTGTTTTTGGTTTCCAAAGCCTAAAAGAAAGCCTTAGGGTTCCCAAGAGGGTATTCAGAAAAGGGAAAAAATTTTTTCTTCAGGTAGAAAGCAGACTGTCCTTTTAACTTCAGAAAAACATGAATGGAGGACTTCCTCCAACTCATTCATTTACTCACTCATTTGTAGGTATTTATTGAGGGCCTACTATGTACATATACTGCCCTAGAATCTGGGAACAGAACTACCTGCAAACAAGATAGGCAGCTCCCAGTCCTCAGAAGTTTATATTCCATCTACGAGACAGCTAGTTAGCAAGTAAACTGATAAGCAAGGTACTTGGCTATTTTTGATAAATGCTATGAAGGAAATAAAAGGGGTCGTGATGGAGAGAACACAGGGAGGTTTCTCCTATAGCTGTAACAGTGAAGGAAGGTTTCTCTGCAGAGGTTTCTCTGCACTTGAGGGTGACCTAAAAGGGGAGAAGGGGATTTCCAGGCAGGAAAGCTAAGCAGGCTCAAGGCCAGGGACAAGAGAGGGCTTGGCAAGGCCAAAGGACATAACGGTGGCCAATGTGGCTGCAGCCTAATGGGTGAAGGGGAGAGGAGATGAAGAAAGACAGACAAGTGAGGTATTGTAAGACACAGTGAGGAACTGATAAAACAAAACTCACATTTTATTTTCTGATGTTTTAAACAGAGGCATGTTGGAAAGTCTTAGTCCTGGTTTGGGAGAAGACAGCTCTGAAGTAAGGGGTATTTTTAAAAGGAGATATTCTTAAGAAGGGACCTAAGAAGGGACCTTCACTGAACACACAAGCTCCTCCCCAGGCTCCTGGGGAAACGAACACCAGCTGAGTGAGAAGAAGATGCTTTGCCTGTGGGAAGCCATGGAAATCTGAGTGGGAGAGACCCAGAAGAGCCAGCATGATATTGAGAGAGAAGAACAAAGTGGGAAGACTGATGCCACTGGGCTTCAACACTTACTCTAAAGCTGCAGCAGTCAACACAGTGTGGTATTGGTCAAAGAAGAGATGAATAGATCCATGGAGCAGAATAGAGAGCCCAGAAATAAACCTTATAAATATAGTCAACTCATCTTTGACAAAGGAACGAAGGCAATACAGTGAAGCAAAGACAGTCTTTTCAACAAATGGTGCTAGAACAACTGGACATCCACATTCAGTAAAAGTGAGTCTAGACACAGACCTTACACCCTTCACAAAAAGTAGCTCAAAATAATGTAAAATACAAAACTATAAAAGGAAGCTAACAGAGGAGAAAACCTGGATGACTTTGGGTTTGGCAATGGTACCCAAACCCAAGGTCTCCAGTTTGGATTTGGGTAGGGTTTAGCTATGACATCAAAAGCAAAATCCTTGAAAGAAAGAATTGATAAACTGTATTATATGGTCTGATTGTGTCCCCCCCAAAGTTCATTTCCTGAATCCTCACCAGCAAAGGGACATTTGTGAAATAATACAAGGGCAGTAGCAGGAAGTAGAAGGAAAACCTCTGGACGTGGGCATGTACCTGACAATGTCCTGCAGCACCAAGGGAGAGTCTAGCATCATGAGTAAACTCATGCCCGAGACAGCCCCACTGATGGACGAAGATTTCAAGGCCAGACAGGAACATGTTGTTGCTTACTGCCTGCTTCACCTGCAAAAGGATAAGTGGCCAACAGACGTCTGCAGATTTCTAGATCATGGTGTCCTGGCTCAAACATCCAGCCTTCACCTAAGTATATTCTTCATAAAAGCACATTGAAAGAGAACTCAGTAAGGATTTTTTAAACAGTATTACTCATGACTCACAATGAATAGTGCTGGGATGGGCTAAAATGTCCCAACTCGCTAGTTAGGAAACTGTGACAGAGGGAATGTTATTTCATGGGCTTCTGCAATTCTCTCCCTGTAGTCTCTCAGTGCACTGATTCCCTTCCCTACGGAATATACTTGTGGTCTTAGGACCATTTAAACATTTAAAAATCACTGAGGACTCCAAGAGCTTTTGTTTATGTGGGATGTATCTGTCAGTATTTACCAGGTTTGAAATTAAAACTGAGAAGAATTTTAAATATTTAAATATATTTTATATGTTTATTTGTAACTTAAAAAATAGAAATAGCTTCCGCGGGGGGAGGGGACAAGGTTGAGGTGGTCAATGGGGCAAAGAAGGGGGCACATCTGTAATATTTTCAACAATAAAGATAAATTAAAAAATAGAAATAAAAAAGCCATTACATGGTAACATAAATAGCATAGTTTCATGAAAAATAATTATATTTCCAAAGTAAAAAAGAAGGGTAAGAGTAGCATCTAAAACAAAATTTGCAAATCTCTTTTATGTGTAGATTTATAGATGCATGTCTGCTTCTGCACTCCATCTGTGGGAAAACGTTTTGATTTGAAATATGTGATAATCCAACTTCACGCAGATATGCAGTTGGAAAAGAAGAGAACATTTAATTCTTTTTTTTCCCCCCTCACAGGAGGACATGCTTAGAGAGAGAAACATTGAATCGGTTGCCTTCTGTAAGTGCCCCCACTGGGGATCAAACCTGTAACCCAGGTAAGTGCTCTGACCAGGAATTGAACCAGCAACCTTTCAGTGCACAGGATGATGCTCAACCAACTGAGCCAATCCAGCCAGGCAAGGAGAGAACATTTAAATGACTCTTTTAGATAAGTATGGCTATTCTTCTTTGATGCCATATCAAAATTTGACAAGCGGTAATTTCTTAAAAATTAGTTGTAGTGTGGAATCTGAAACTAGGTCAATGGATTTCTCATACTGTCACTGGTCACTCTTGCACTTTGTTTTTTGTTTTTTTTTTAATATATCTTTATTGATTTCAGAGAGAGGAAAGGAGAGGGAGAGAGAGAGATAGAAACACCAATGATAGGAGAGTCACTGATCGGCTGCCTCCTGCATGCCCCCGACTGGGGATCGAGCCTGCAACCCGGGCATGTGCCCTGACCAGGAATCGAACCACAATTGCCTGGATCCTAGGTCGACACTCAACCACTGAGCCATGCCCAGCTGGGCCACTCTTGCACTTTGAATGGATCATTCACCTATGCATGATTTTGTAATGCCATGCATTGGTCATTTGGAAAATATCAGTTTACTGAGTTCTGCAGATCTTCTGAATGTTGAATCATTATATATATAAGAAAAAATCAGTGATTAATGTCACCACCACTCCCATTAGAAAAGTCTTTAAGTATTGGAAAGTATTTGTCATGCTGACAAATGTGAAATTACGAGAATTCTAACTTTCATTTGGAAGTTCAGATTTATCATTGACAACAAATAGTCAACTGTTTTCCTTGAAGTGACAGGCTCACTTCATCCATTTTCCAGAAAATGCCTACTACCCAGTCTGAATGACCAACAAATGCTTTTCTATTGAACACGTCAGTAATTAGTAGAATATTAAGGATGGGCAGTCAAGGGTTGAATTTAATAAAATAATAACTTTACTACTTCTGAAAAAACATTCTTAGGTGAAACTGGCTTAAAACAAAAGAGACTATAGGGCAGTAAAGAATATAATGATTAGTAAATAGTACAGGAGATTGGATTCATGACAAGGGGTTAGTAATTTTACTCACCATTGCTTTTGACTTCAGTGCAAGGATGCCAACAACAGTGAAAAAGGCAAATATGTCTTGGCACTATTATGAGAATAGTTGTGACCTCCCAGGTCCACTGAAAGGGTTTTGGGGACACACTCCCCTCAACTGGACCCATGGAACACACTTGGAGGACCACAGCTGTGGAGTGTTGAGAACCAGCAGTTTGAACTGGGTATAGAATTCTCTGGGCTGGAGGTGAGAGGCGCTGAGGATGCTGGGATTTTGGTAGGGATGGTGTTGGCCTTACAGAATATATTATTAATAAAGACCCCAATAAACACATATTGGGGGAACATACCTGCTGCAGCTATTTCCTTTGAAGACCAGATGACCCAAGGTATTACCTTCTCTGAATTGGTGCTATAATAGCTTTTGTTAAAAGAATTCATTCAGCACCCTCGTGAATGTGCCTCTCCTGCTGGGTGCTGTAGAGGAAGTTATAACCTAGGATTTTCCAATCTTTTCAACCAGGTCCACTCCTGTGCCCTTTAGAATGGGTGTGGCCAAGAGTGGCCATGGATTCTCTCTTTCTCTCTTTTTTACTGTGTACCCATGTTTTAAAATTTTTTATTTTTGTATTTTTTGGAGATCTTTTTTAAAAATTTATCTTTATTGTTGAAAGTATTACAGGTGTCTCCTTCCCCCCCCATTAACCCCTTCCACCCCACTCCTGCCTCCACCCCCCAAGTCCTTCACCTCACTATTGTCTGTGTCCAGGGGTTATAAATATATGCATATAAATTCTTTGGTTAATTTCCACCCCCCTCCCCTCTTCCCTCTGAGATTTGTCAGTCTGTTCCATGCTATTATGTCTATGGATCTATTTTGTTCATTAGATTCCACATATAAGTGAGATAACCTGATACTTTCTCTGATTGGTTTATTTTGCTT